ATTGTATTGTTTTGCTGTAATGTAAAACAATTACAATAACTATTGTATTATATTGCTGGGGTAAAAAACAATTACAATAAGTACTGTGGATTATTGTATTACTATTTCAAAGTCTAATAGCTATTGTATTTTATAGTATTTAGATTCTTTTTTCACGCGTTATTATTATTTGGGCACTAGATAATTTAGCGGTGCCCATGACGCTCGTTTTCAGTCGTCATTTATATATATATATTTTATTTTGAGAAGAGAAGTGAAGCCAGAAAAGCCAAAGAAGTATATATATATATATATATATATGCAGGGCCGGCGCGAGAAGGTGTCACGTGGGGGGAGGGGTGCCATTACAACTTTTGCCGTCTTAAAAAAAAAAAAAAAAGGTCCTCGTTTTCGAAAATTTGCCGACTACCATGACGACATTTGCTGACTAATGTAAATTACCGACTAGCCTATATTGAAAGGCTCGACATTTGCCGACTAACTTACGACTAATCGATTAGATTGTCTAAAAATGTGAACTTTTTTTGTTTTGTTAAAAAAATTTATACATTTTCAAATTGTTCATAACCTATCAGACTGTACTAGTAAACTTTGTGTGGATCATTTTTGAAAAATGAGGCAGTTTAGAACACCAAATAAATATTTTTCTTGTCAAATGTAACAAAATTCTTTTATAACTTTGCAACTAGATGTTTAGTTACTTTATGAAACACATACAACCATAAAGCCTAAAGGAAACAAAAGACAAAGTTATATTAGAGTAAGTGTGAGTTGAGTAAGTTTCGAAACAATTGGATAGGTGTCTAATGTAAAAGCAAAAAACTTAGTGGAAAAAATGGTAGTAATTAATTATGTCTATCCCCAACAGTAAAAGAAATACAAGCCCGAATAAACTCACCTTTATAGAGCTATATAAAGTTCGCAATGAAAACAAGTGATATTCAGTAAATAAAATAGAAACAGAATCAATACTTATATATTAGTTGTACTCTATTTCAAGGTCACATATCTCCGAGACTGGACTATTAAAACATTTATTAAATTTAGACGCTACATTAATTTTTTTAAATTATAATAACAATATATTGACAAAAAAAAATTAATTTTATAAATAATTTAAAAAAAAATGAAATTATAAATTTTGTGCTTTTTTAATGAAAATTACAAAAATGATTTCTTTTAATCCTGTTAATAAACATAAATAACAAACTTACATATTTTTAGATAATATAAGCAGTATAATTTATTAAAAAAAAAAGAAATCATTTAATATTGTTTTGAAAAATTTTGGTTAATTTTTTGAGGTTACCACTGTGCTTCACCTTATGTTTTATTAACTTGTTTATCATTAGTACTTTTACCTACATTTCATTACAAATAATTTATTAAAATTTTATTACAAATGCAAGTACATGCAACCACAGGCGATTTTACGGGTGTGTGTGTGTGGTGGTGGTGGTGGTGGTGGTGGTGATTTTTAAGTTATAGTCGGTTTTTTTTTACAAATTTAGTAGTCAGTCGGCTATATGACACAATTCAGTCGGTAAAATTTTCGTTTTAAGGAACTTTTTTTTTTTTAAAGAAGCTAGTCGGTACATTTTAAGGATTCACCCCCCCCTGATTTTATTCGTAGAATTGCCTCTGCATGCAATGCAAACTAATCTTAATTAATAAAAATAAGTAAATACAAATAAATCTTAATTAATCTGTTAATATCTGCTTTATCAGTTATAAGTTTTAAAGCCTGTATACTAGCTGATGATTTTGTATTGTTGTTTATCCTCCTCCGGTTAACTGCCTTACAGAAGCAGGCCAGCAAAGATAAGTTCAGCTCATTAAAGAGCATCATAACCCGCCATGATGGACCAAGATTAAGTAAGTTTAAGGAGAACGAAGATCATTAGAGTGACAGACTGAAGAAGCATAGATTGAAAGATAGTATATAGATAGCGGACAGATATTGCACTGGATTTTAGAATATGCAGTTATACACTAATCGGTTATAACAAAATAATGTATTTTTTGCATCAGAATTTGAAATGTGCAGTTATTTTTATTAGCTGATAATTTGATCATAAATTAAAATTTCATTTTTTGTCTAAACTTTCGTATTAAATAGTTTCAGTGCGTTCTCTAGCAAAAACTAAATTTAACCGCTCAAATCCCAACGTCAAAGAAAATTGAATCTATTTATAGAACTAAGTTGCGTGTTTTTTTTTGTGAACATTTTCATTTGATTCTTGTGAACAGGTGACGCTGTTGTAATAAAATCAAAAGATCTTTGTAAATTAACAAAAAGAAAAAGCAGCGCGCGGCTTACTTTAGGTTCAAAGAAAAATTTCCACGTGGAAGAGTATTTGCACTAGAGACCCTGTAAATTAAACAGTGCAATGTAAGTTTTTTTTTGTTGTTACCTTGGTTATGTTTTAAATAATATTTTATCATAAAAGAGTTTTTATATTTATGTTTATTTAATTTAAAAATATTAAGTGTAGGAGGTTTAAAACTTGGTTGTGTAAATGACGTGAAAAAAAAAACGTTAAACTTGAATAACGTTGCAAACACCAGGGCAAAAACCTACAAGGAATGTGTGTTGATTTTAATACTTTTCTTGTCACATGGTAATAGTGGTTAAAAGCTATGCCTCCACCTAGACTTTACATTTTGCTTTTCAAAGAAACTTATTTCCATTTTTTTTAATAATATTTAAAATTCATTCCGATTTTAAATTTTTTATATTTTATTCCCCTACTAGTATTTTTATTGATGTTACTTCGATAATTTTTTTAAATATAGTTTCAGTAAACAAATACGATAGTCTACTTTTTAATTTCTTTATTTTATTTAGTGTTCCTGGAAATTTTTAGGAAAATGTCTTTTTTTTCAGAATGTGCAATTGTGCGCGTAGCAGTTAACTGTACTGCACATCATAAGTTTTTAACTAAAAAATGATAGGACTTTATAGCTTCATTTTCTTAAACATTGTTTAGAAGTCATTTATTTTTAAACATATAATAAATGTTAAAAATTAATCGTAAAATAACTTTTTAATTATGTATTACATAAAGATTTTTAATCAACAGCTTGTGACAAAAAATAACAGTTTTCTAAAAACATTATAACACAGAGCATGAAGGTAGTATCTGATCATCAGAGACATTGACACACCTAAGGACCAAATTAAGAAACGGTTTCTTATTTGTAATCTTTTTATTTGATAAACTTACTGACAATTATGTTATGGTGTTTGAGATGGTGACCATCTCAAACACCATACCAAAATAACTTCTGGGAATTAAAATAAATCCTATTCTGTTTAAATTTGTTTCATTGCACTTTATTATTAAATTGATGTCATTATTATAAACTATATTTGATACTATTATATCATATATCAATATTATTATTGTTATATTTATAATTTTGTATAATTATTGTTTGTTCAAACAATGCTATGTTTTTTTATATATCAATAGCTTATAGATTTAATTGTTTAAGTTTAAGAAAACATACAGAATTTTATTATGTTTTGCATAATTAAATTCTGTATGTTTTCTTAAACTTAAACAATTAAAAAAGAGCTTAAGTTTTTTAAAAGGAAAAAAATAGAGATTATAAGTACATAAAGAAAAATAGCCAATTGAAAAATATCTATTAAAACAAATTTAAGACATAAATATTTGTTCAAATAAATAAGCAAACCGTTCAATTTTAAATGAATACGCAAAATATTTAAACTTAGCATTGAATAGCATTCAATAAGTTTGATAGCTACGTAAATTTAAATATGTATGTATATATATATATATGTATGTATATATATATATATATATATATATATATATATATATATATATATATATGTATATATATATATATATAATAAATATATATATATATATATATATATATAATAAATATATATATATATATATATATATATATATATATATATATAATAAATATATATATATATATGTAATATATAATATATATAAAATATAATATATATATATATATATATATATATATATATATATATATATATATATATATATGTATTTATATATAATTTTTTTTTTAAATCATATTCAGCACAGGGTTTTAATTCCAATAGGTTTAAACAGGTTTTTTAATGCTCAGAAATGTGCACAACCCTATTATTTTTATTGAATGAAAACGTGTATTCAAGTATTTTCGAAAGTAAACATATAATTAGATAAAATATAAATACATATGTGTAATTTAATAACTATTGCTGTAATTTAAAAACTATTGTAATTTAATAACTATTATTGTAATTTAATTACTATTGCTAATAATTTTTGTAGTACTTATAACAATGCATATATATTAAAACAATAATATTATAACAATAATAATAGGATGCTGCACGTAACTTTTCTGCGTATTAAAAACCTGTTTAAACCTATAATTAAAACCCTGTGCTGAATATGATTAAAAAAAAAAAATTAACTGCAATTTTAAATTTTAAAATAACTTTACATAATTTGTAATTACTGGATAGTAATTTATCTATTTATAAATAATTTAAATTAAATTTTGCTTTTATTTCATTTCAAAAAAATTTATTAACTTATTATTATTACTTTAATTAAATTTTGTTAAGTTAAAATTTTGAAATAAGCAATAAAATATATAGAAAATAAATATAGAAGTAAAATATTTGTTTTAGTAAATTTTGTCTATTGCTCTGCTTGTTGCCAAGTAGCAAGATTTAAGTATAGCAAAAATATTTTTATTTCGAATATCCACATACAAATTTGTAGCCTTCTTACCTGCTACTTTAAATGAAACTCGAAATATTTTTAGTTTGTCTGGTGATGACAAAAAAACATGGTTATTCCAAAAAAATAACTTTTGAAATCAAACATATATAATTTGTTTTATCATTTGTGAAAGTATTTAAACAATTTAGTCACAAAAAAAGTGAATAAATTAGAAATTTATTTTTGGGGCGGAACAAGAATTTTTCGGAATATGAATGTAGTAATTTTCAGGTATGTGTGTATTTAAGTATATATATATGTATGCATGTATGTTTGGGATCTATGTTAGAGATGTATTGAAAGAATACGGTTTAAAAATTTATGTTATTGCAATAGAACCATAATATAACAAAGTACATATATATTTAAGATGTCATGGAAATTCGACTCCTGCTAAAAAGGTCGAACAATTTTAAGTCAGAATTTATAATGCAAATCTATATTTAGAATCTAGCGCATTCATGCGATAAATTTAGCGCATTCTATCGAACTTGAGAGTGACGATTCAAGACGACGGTTCAATTTTAGTATTAAAAAGTTAATACATTTATTAAAGTTGTTTAAAACATGTAAACTTTAACTTTTGGCACCGTACATCTCCATTACACCCCTAATATGTATAAAATTAAAAAAAAAACAACAACTTGCAACTTTAGCACTAAAAAAAAAACCATAAACATCAGCAACAAAACAGCAACAAAAGAAAGATAATGAAGATCAATAAGTTATTTAATTTACGTTAATAAATGCAAAAATTTTACCAACAAATGCGTACTAACTACGTAATAAGTTTACTAAAATAATTCAAAAACGTACGACTTTTTAACCCCTGCCATTTTTATCTGCTTGCCTAAAAATTATGTAAAAGGACAAAGCAATGTTAATAAAAATTAAATTCCATAAATATAAAGAACTTATTAAAATTTTATTTAACTTATTATTTTTAGTTGCTGATATTTTTAAGTAATTGGAGCAAACAAGTAGCGAAAATAACATGGTTCCTGGTTCTTTAAGAATAAAAAGCCTTAGTCATCAAATTTAAAGTTTAAAAAACGGCCTTAATCATTAAACTGTTTGCTTAAAAATGTTTAAGACAGATGTTATTTGTCTTTATTTAAGGCGTAATATTTTATTGTAAAATTGTAAATAGTGTTTCTCTTGACAACATTTTATCCTGGCTTTTACATTTCTTTGTTTTCTAATTTTATTATTTCTTTTATTTAAAGATTATGAACAATAGAAGATCTTCTTCTGAGTCATTTGCAAGTGACTCTGAAAGTCCCCCTGAAATTTTGGATGTTTATCGTTGTGATACAAATTGTTCTCGGATTAAACGTTTGCGTGCAAATGACCGAGAACGAAGACGTGTACATTTAATTAATTGCGCGATGGAATCTCTACGAAACGTAATACCTGGTATGAAAGAAAAAAGAAAAATCACTAAACTTGAGTTGTTAAGAGCCGCTAATCGTTACATTTGGTTACTAGACGAAACTTTACGAACTGGAAAACCATTAGACGAGGTTATGGAAAGATTTATTGAAACTCCTAAAATTTATTACCCCTACATAACTGTTGTAAAACGAGAATTTCATTATTGAAAATATGCAAGATGTAACCATATAACTGTTTATATTTAGGCTACAAGCTAAAGCTGTAAATAACATTCTATTTTTCTTTTTTTCTAAATATTTTTAATGGAGAATAAAAAGATTTATATATATATTCTCATTTATTGTAAAATATATTAGTTTAGATCAGTTCTTTATTACTATATAACTACTATTGTTTTATATTTTTTTTTAGCCAGTAAGTTCGGGTTTGTTATTATTGTTATTATTATTATTTTTATAATTATTATTTAAGGTTATTATCATTTATAAAAAACTACAAACATTATAAAAATATAGTCTAATTACAATGAGATTTCGTCTTTAAAGCATAGAATTCAGTTTTTATCGACAGTTAGCCCTTTTAGAATTGAATTGATGTATGCTTTCTTTGCAACAAAATATCATAAAACATTAGCGACTCTAGAGTTGCTACCACCCAATGGGCACGGACGAAAAAAAGACGTCTTTTATACGTCTTATACACGTTTTGGACGTCTTTTGAACGTCTTTTTAACGTTTTGGACGTCTTTTGAACGTTCAAAAAACGTCTTATTTTGGTCCGGTGCCCACTGGGCAGCTCGGTGAAGTTAAGGCGATTTCCATTAAATGATCAGGTTATGAATTATGACAACACGGTGGTCATATTGGCTTTAAAAACTCCCAAAAGTTTTTTTTAAAGAAATCGCGAATATTCATCAAAACATGATCCAAAACGTCCGCAAATAAATCTTTTTTTCAAAATAGCCAAATATTATAAACTCTAAAATTTAATTAGGGTTATAAATACATTGCTTAATTATATTTCTTCAATCAAAAATAAAGTTTAAACATTTTTTATTCGTTTTTTAAATATAATTTTCTCGTTAAAAGATATTGAAATTCACTAATGTTAAAAAACTGTTTTTTTTCTTGAAGTAATCAACTTGATAGACAACATGATTAGCTTAAGTATCAATACAGTTACTAAGAAAGGCAGCTTTTAAGTGGATCTCACATTCCAGTTTTTAACTATATATCTAAATTAGAGTTATACAGTAGCTTTAAGCAAAATAACCATCAAAATGTCTGTTTTTAAAATAAATACAATTATATTTACGACATTACTAAAAAGAAGATATATGTTGTAAACTGGAATTATAGATTTGCATATTAGGAATCCATGCGGAAATTTTCAAATCATACGATTTATCAAGTAATGAAGGCTATCTAAGAGATTATTAGCTGGTTATTCTTTCAATCAAAAAGAAGACTCAGAAACCATTATGGATTTTTAAAATATATTATTGTCGGTGTTATGTTATTAATTGATGCGTAAAAATTTAAATATTGATATTATATCATATGTTTGGGAGGTTAGAAAGTGTAATTTTGTAAATAAATTTTAAATGAAACTTTTTTTAAATCAGGAAAATCTTAGTCTAAAGTAAAGTATTTAAAAAAAGCAGTATTTATTTCAAATAACTTTTGCATAACATTTCTGTCAATATTTTTCTATAGCACAATTTAATGACAACTTTTTTATTCAACTAAATATTTTCCCGATTCAAAAAAAGTTTAAACTTAGGCACGTGAATATCCGCGTTTTACGGAACCGAATATTACGCTTTTTTTTTTTAGTCAGCATAGTGAAGACGTGTTTAGTTGTAAAACTTTTTAGAATTTGATATCAACGTAGATAATTTTTAGAAAGTATAGTTGAACTTTATTACTGTAAGATTTACTAGATGGCTTTTTTATTATGTTTTTTGATGTCTAAAACTTTAAATTAATGTTGAAGATATGCTCTTTTTTTTTTACTATACTTTTTTACTATTCTTTTTTTTTAAATTTTTTATTTATCTATGCACCTGCAAAATTTCATTAAAAAATATTTAGTCGCAGGATGTCTATTTTTTGTCGCACTTTTGGTACCTAATTTTCATTCGCCCGAAATGTTCGCAGAAGACAGAGGGGTTAGTTAAACATTTTTTATATTTGATTTAGATTAAATAAAATTTTCATGAAAAATGGAAAATAATGACAGAAATAAAAGGTTTTCAATATTGTTTCCTATTTATAATAATTTTGAAATGAAACCATTAGATAGTAAGATGTTTTTTACTTCTTTGTTGTTGAACTTTAAATAACCAATCAGAATTTTTATAAGTGAAAATATTTTTTGATATTAGGGTGTGTTAAAACATCATCAACACATTTACCATAAGTTTTACATTCACCTCTTATATTTGGTGGTTATCTGGTATTAATTCATAAAATCTTTTTTATACAGAAAAAACTTTGTTTTTGGACCTTAGCAAATAGTAGTTGGGTTATTTTATCTTTTTTTTTTTAAGATTGGGAGGGGGGAGCATATGCCCCACCCCATAAGTCATTGTAAACACCACTTGTGTTCGTAAATTTTTGTATAACATAATTTTATATTGTATACTAATTGAAATCATTTTAGTAAAGATAAAAGTATTTACGAAAACAAGTCATTTTTAATACTAGGGTGCATCAAACCATCACCACCACATCCACATCCATCGTTAAAATACGCCTCTCATATACTTTGGTGGTTTGATATAAATTTATAGCAGTTTTTTTGTATATTTGAACTATTTATGTCTTGAAAAAAGACTTTTTTCTTAAAAAAGTGTTCAATTTCTTATAGTAAACGTGTTGGTTTGTTCCCCCTCTATCCCCTGGATACGCCCAGTAGTAAGTGGTCAATATAAATTTGTAGCCCACTCTTACACCTATCATGTTAGAAAAAGGATAGTTGACAATCTTTTTTTTTCTGACGAGACTGGGTTCCATGCTCAGTTCCAGACGTGCAGTGGTTTAGTATAGATGCGCAGGTTGTTCACGATAGATTGATTTTAGTTTTTTTCTTAGTTTTATGTAATTTTTATTTGCGAAACATTGTTTGTTTTATGTAATTTTTATTTGCGAAACATTGCGAAGCATTGTTTTTATTTGCGAAACATTGTAAACATGTATTGGCTATACTATGTATATAAAAACACACATTGATTTATATTGTTGCAAAGTATCAAAATCATGGAGTTTGTAACACGTATTATATTTAGGGTATGATAATACTACCTCAATATATTCGTTTAATTTCATTTGATCGGATCGCGGGGATCGCAATGTATTCGTTTAATTTCATTTGGTTGGATCGCGGATCGCATATATATATATATATATATATATATATATATATATATATATATATATATATATATATATATATATATATATATATATATATATATATATACATATATATATATACATATATATATATACTATATATATATATATATATATATATATATATATATATATATATATATATATATATATATATATATATATACATATATATATATATATATATATATACATATATATATATATATATATATATATATATATATATACATATATATATATATATATATATATATATATATATATATATATATATATATATATATATATATATATATATACAACAGAGCACTAATAAATTAGTAAAAAACACTTAGCGTAACGAGGGGCAAAATGAGACACTTAAGCGCTACTATATCTAATACGGCCCGTCTAACAACTTTTGAAAAAATAACTTGATATTTTTCAATTCTTCTACCATTCTACTTGAAGCTTGAAAAGTATAAGTTACAAAACTGCAGTGGTTTGGTCACCATAGATCATTTATTGACAGCACCTATCCTGTCTCATTTTGCCCCGCATACCGGGGCAAAATGAGACAGATTTTTTGTTTAGTAATTTAAATAAATAAAGTTAAACAAAACAGATCTTTAAGAGGATTAGCAAGAAATACATTTTATAATATATTACAGCTGTAATCAAACTGTCACTAGTCACATAAATCACATATTGCTTGACTAGTATTTTGAAACGAACAGTCCGAATGAGCTCAGGCAGTTCATTTTAAACATTGACTCCACTATATATATATATATATATATATATATATATATATATATATATATATATATATATATATATATATATATATATATATATATATATATATATATATATATATATATATATATATATATATATATATATATATATATATATATATATATATATATATATATATATATATATTTATATATTTATATATATATATATATATATATATATATATATATATATATATATATATATATATATATATATATATACTAATAAAACCATACATACATATATTAAACTTATGTATTTAAAGCACGCATAACATTCATTGTATTTTGTTTATAGGTACTGCAATAACCTATATGTTATAATCTACTCACTATATATTTTATATACTACTTACTTTATTACATTACAATACAATAAGATTATAAAATACAAACATTGTAATAATAAACAGGCAATTATTTGCTTCAATTTGATTAAATATTTATTATATTTAAATATAAGTTAACGAAATATAAAACGTAATTCTATATTGGATAACAACTAAACATTTCAATTAACAAAATAAAAAGTAAGTAAATACAGTATAATAAATTTAAATCTACAGAAATGTAAATATTAATATTTGCTTTGTTTGTTGTTTTAATGTAAAAAATTAAATAAACATAATATTAGATATAAATATATATATATATATATATATATATATATATATATATATATATATATATATATATATATATATATATATATATATATATATATGTATATATATATATATATATATATATATATATATATATATATTCATATATATATATATATACGGAAGACTGGATTATGTGTTACAAATGTAAGTAGTGGTTCCACGAGAAGTGCACAAGATGTGCAAGCACATCCTGAGGTTTTCTCTGTGATTTTTGCACTTAATTAATTGATGTAACAGTTTATGAATAACATTTGTTGATATTTGACATTTCATTCATGTAACATTTTATTTGGTTTGAATAAAATTTATTGATATTTGTTTCTTTAACGTTTGATTTGTTTAAAATTTTATTCAATAATATTTTAACGCTTCAATCAAGTTTTATTTGTTTTGATCAACATTTTATTTGCTATTAGCCAATAGTGTTCGTAATTACCCCACGTACGTAGGGTAATTC